GGGTCTTGAAGGCTACTCGCATTATAGGTGACATAGTCTCGCAGCTTCACTGAAGGAACCCGAGAACGTTGACCTCGACCCAACACCTCATCCATAGGTGCTGCAGACGACGGTGATACGTTGTTAACTGGAGGTTCAGTGGCCAGTGGAGCCGTAGAACCGGACTTAACTTTAGCCGTCTCCTCTATTGGAACTGACGGAGACACATTGTTATCAGACATAGACTGTTCAGCAGGTACAGGAACCTGAGGTGTGTGATCAACCACGGCTTCAGGGTCTGAGAAATTATCTGGAGATGGTACTGAGACGTCAACAGGAGAGGATGAGTGGGAATCAAGTAACGAGCTCCCCCTGTCATCGGACGAACTCCCCCTGTCACCGAACGAGAACCTAGTAGGAACCGGAGTTGGTATTAAAAGATCAGCATCAAATGGTGTCTCCACGGAAGACTTGACTGTAGGGTTTGGTTGAGCAGAGAATGGGAATATGTGCTCTTGAAACACAACATCCCTGGATATGAGGACTTTCTCTGTGGTTAAATCATAGACTTTCCAACCCTTTTGACCGTGTGGATAACCAATAAAAACACAACGTCGACTGCGTTTCCCAAACTTGTCTTTGTCTCGGGAACGATGATGAACAAAACACAAACTGCCGAAGACTCGTAGTTGTGAATAGTTAGGCTTTTCCTTGAAGAGAATCTCATAGGGAGATCGATGATGTAGAACTGCAGATGGCGTACGGTTGATTAAGTGAGTAGCAGTCATGATGGCTTCACCCCAAAACTTGATTGGGAGATTACTCTGAAACAAAAGTGAGCGAGCTACATTAAGGATATGGCGATGTTTCCGCTCAACTCTCCCATTCTGCTCAGGGGTAGCAACGCAAGAAGTTTGGTGTATAATCCCATTCTCGCGAAAGAATCTTGCTAAGCACATGAACTCAGTCCCGTTATCACTGCGGACCGTCTTGACATCCTTAGAGAATTGCTTAGTAGTCATACGAACAAAATTTTGCAGAACCGTCTGTACTTCGGACTTCTCAAGAAGTAAATAAGTCCACACCGATCTTGAAAAATCATCAACAATTGTCAAGAAATAAACTGCTCCAGTAGACGATCTAGTACGATATGGTCCCCAGACGTCGCAATGAATAAGCTGAAAACACTCTTGAGTTTTATTCAAACTTTCATAAAAAACTTCTCTAGTTTGCTTAGCCTCAAAACAAATGTCACATGGACTGGGAGGAGTAAGCTTATTAAACTCAAAAAACATAGGTAAATGCGGTAAGACTGAAAACGAAGGATGTCCTAGCCGTTGGTGCCAAAGGAACTGATCTGGCGACTTGGTAACTTTCGCAGAAACTTGAACACGAGCAGCCATTACATCCTTAAAGAAATAAACCCCATCTCTCTCTTCACCTGCTCCTATCAGCGTCCTCGTGAAACGATCCTGTAAAACACACAGTGTATCCGTTAGTAAAGCAAAGCAATTTGTCTGCCGAAGGAGTTTTGAGACAGAGATCAGGGAACAATTAAGGTTTGGGACATATAAAACATCAGTAAGTGTGATGTTATTAGACAAACGAAATACGCCGGTATGAGTCGCATAGGTTTTGTTTCCATCTGCAAACCCCACAGGACAAGGACGTATACTTGTAACTTCTTTTAGAAACGAGAGCTCTCCAGTCATGTGGTGAGAAGCTCCCGTATCCAAAATAAGGTCACCAAACTGCTTACCAGTAAGCCTGTCCGAACACTTTGCTTTATCATTAACCATTTGAGCTAAGACACTCCACTGCTCGTCGGTGAATGCTGGAAACACTGAAGAGTTTGAAGAAGTCGCATGAGCGTTCTGGACTCGAGGAGTACAATTTTTGGTACGATCTGACGTGTTGCTTCCACGACCGCGACCTCCGCGTCCTCTTTTACTATCTCCCCTGGTAGGTGGAGTTTCTTCCCACCAATCGGGAAACCCGACAAGCTGCCAACAGTTGGCTTTTTCGTGCCCTCTGCGTCCACAGTGCGAGCATGTGGGAATACGTCGCGACTGACCAGGACTTGAAGACTCTGGTGATTCTTTCTTCGCCACAAACCCCACGGCACTGTTATGAGTTTCACGCTCCTTTGTTGTTGTAATTCGTTGTTCTTCACGGACTATCTTCGCGTATGCCTCACCAAGATCAACCGGTGTGTCTGACGCGATGATACTTTGACAAACTGCACCAAAGCGAGATTCATCTAATCCCATCACGAAATGGTGTAACTTCTCCTCTTCACGTTCAGTCTCATAATCAGTAGCTGCACTACAGCTACATGGTGGAAGGGGTTTTAATGTATCTAGCTCCTCCCAAAGTTTAGCCAGCCGACCAAAATACTCCATCACCGGCTGTCCATCTTGTCTACACGACGCCAGTTGTTCTTTTAGATGATGCACACGAACTTTGTTTCAGACAGAGAAACGCTTTTTCAAATTTTCCCATAACTTTCGAGCATCTGAAATAAACGTTACTGTAGAACGAACACGAGCTTCAATGGAGGAACGTATCCAACCGACAATCATCGAATTGACGGATACCCAAAGCTCCTAACTCGGGTCTGTTATCGAAGGTTTTGGTATGGAGCCATCGATAAACCCTAACTTCCTTTTAGCTCTAAGTGCGCTCGTGAGTTCCGTAGACCATTCGTTGTAATTCTCTCCGGTGAAAATCACAGATGTAATCACTGACCCTGGATTATCAGAAGAAAACAAGGTATACGGCCCCTGCACTTTCGAGCTTACAGCTTGCTCGACTTGACTTGTCGAACTCTTTATTGCAGAAGAATCGTCTTCTCCAGACATGACTTATATGTTTGATCTCGATCAAACAAAAACAAGACACACGATGAATTAGGTCACATAAATCTTAATGCTCTGATACCATGTAAACTTGAGATAATATTGTGAACTCTCAACTTGTATTAACTTTAACGATATACAAGAGTATTTATACAACCATATAAACCGACTCTTCCTTAAGTAAATAGGAAGTTTAACAAATATTAAGGAGATAATGATAAATGGAAAGCTAATCCTTATCAATAGGATTCCTTTTCCTAATTGATATCTCCCATGTTCTGAACCCAGAATCCCATTGAGCTGACCGGATGGCCTTACTGATGATGGTATCCTCCTTTTATTATTGTTTGATTAGTGCTGATTGTTTACTTATATAGCTGCTTTTTAGACACACGTCTTTTAGTTTATTGTTAGCGTTTAAAACACAGCTTATGATGCACATTCACCCAGTTCGGCCATGGGATAGTTTGACTGTGTATTTACATTGCAAATACATGTAAGAAAGCAATGTCATGCCACATGTCGAAGAACCCTTCAGGTAATCTCAAATTTATAGATTGGATATTTGCAACAAGATAAAGATAAGAAAAACATAAATAATGGATTATAATTAAAACTTTATTGGATTAGAGCATATACAATCTTTCTCCTAGCCGCCAAGTTTCATTTTGGTAGTAGTTGAAATGTAAGTCTATAGAGATATTCAACAAAGAAATATAAGACCGTATACACTTATATGAACATATAATCTTTCATATGACAATGATTTAACCAAGGAATCACTTTATCTTAATCTTAGGGAAAAATCTTCTTGATGTCTACTTAGTCCCTAGCTCTTCCTCGTCTGTAGACAGCTCTATCGTCTTCAAGTCTGCCTGTCAAGCCCAAAACCAGCTGAAAAAGTATATTTTCGGTCCAAATTACGAAAGGATAAGTTGTTAAATGAAGACAAAAAGATAGATTCATCAGTTCATGAATGATTTATTTGTTCATTGCTTGCCTCATGTCCTCATTTGTACTATGGTATATATCACTGGAAAACTTGCTCATAGATACAGGCATTTCCATCTACCTTTTCATCCTTCTTTCGCACATTAAAACCCTCTGGAGCTATAAGAGGAACATGCTTTTTTATTCAACTTCCAGCTTGTCTAAGTCTTTTCCCGGCTTAGAAGATGGAGACACTGGTCTCGAAACGGCTACATACGAAAAAGGAATACCTGCGAAGTGATAGCCTTGGCTTCTGAAATTTAAGATTAGCCTTGGCTTAGCATTATCTTATGAGCAGCTTCTTGATCTTTACACAAACTATAATAGTTCCCAAAATTGCAGTTGCAATCCACATTGCTAAGACTGCCATTACATGAAAAAATAAGTTCAAGACAAATGAAAACTTTGCAGTTTCAGGGTTTTAAATAAGCTAATGCTAAAAACTGGTTCCTGTACACGCTTGGTGGTTAAAAGTTGTGAGTATCAAAGTCTGTAGTCAGACATATGTGGTTAATGTTGATCATGCTGGTTTCTCAAAACTAAGCTTGAAGAGTTAATGAAGATTTTAAGAAGGATACCAGCAATGATATTAGGAAAGGCAGTAAACAAAATCAGGTCATGAGCCAGGTAGCCAAAACTCTTTTCTTATTGCATGTGATTCAAATAGAAAGACACAATCAGTAAAAGTAAAACACTAAAACAGAATGCATTGCATGTTAAGCGAACATAATGATCTGAGTGGTGGTACTGCAACAGGGGAGTCAACATATGAGATAATGTTTATAACGATTAGCAAGAAACTTGAAAATACTAATAAAATAGCGCACATAAAGAGAAGCGGATTACTGGAAGAAATTTTTTGATGAGCAAGATTAAAGACAGAGTCAGTCTTGAAGTGTCTTGTAGCTCAACATATGCTTTTCTAACCTATGTCAAAATGTAGAGCATGTCTTTTAGAAAATGGTTATTAAAAGCCTGGATAAGCACCTTCCTTGCTACTTTGGGTTCTCCATTTTTCAATCATCGAGGAATGTGGAGGTACACAGTTTGACTCATAAGTGTAAAGATGTAGCCTATGTGATTTTTTTTCTCTATATGACTGCACCATAGGATTCCCTTGGTGGAAGTTACCTTTGCAATACAACCATCACCGTATGCAAAGAGACACTCTTTTCATCTATCTTGCTCATATTTTTCATGTACCCAGTACATAACCGTCGATGCAGAACCATGACCGTTTACTCGCGCTTTTGTCCATGAGTTAAAGAAACACTTTCCCTACAAAGAAAAATATGTTTTGAGATATCTAATTAAATATGCATCTAGCGTGAGCTCAAACTTTCACAGCAGCTGGCTTCTTTTAAAGCACATATTGCTATACACAACTAGGACATGATACATAGTAAAAAAAATCATCCAGTTATTATTTAACAAAGATAGGTTACGCACTGCGGATCGAACACATAGAGATCATCCGTACCTGAACTCTATGATGGAGTTGTGCAGCAACATCAGCAATTAAACAGCTCGCACTTCTGATGATTTTACAAAAGGGAACCTAAAGCGGTAGCATATATCTATAATAGCCATGTTTTTCTTGGACTGAGGTTTTCGACTGTAGTTGGAAGGCAGATTCACAAAGGGATTTAAATATGTGTGAAAAAGGATGTAGAACCATATCACCTCTCATTAAGAAAGGACTTAAGAACAAAGATGAATCCCTGTCGTGTTGGAGCATCGAATCTCTGCAGTGTTGGAGCATATCCCAGCTTTCAAATCGGAAAGAAGGGTGTATGAATTCACCATTGAAGTGAGTGGAAATCTGAACAGACTAATCATATGGAGCTCGTCGAAGGTGTGAGGATCACGAGTGGATATTTATACTGTAACCTCAGGTCAGTTACTTTGGGGATGTAATCGACTCGGAGGGGAAACGAAAGGTCATAACGTTTGTAAGAGATCACGTTCGTCTGAGAGAGAATGTCGTCAGCGAAAAAAGACAGTGAAGATGACGACGTCTGACCCTAGATCACAAACGGGCCACATAAATACCATTAAGCCCAAACAAATTGCTCAACAAAAGATCATTGGAACGAAAACCCAAGATACAAAATGGCCTAAAATAAGATAGGACACGTGGTGATTAATGCCCCCCATGGAAAAAAAAATCTTCTTTATTTATAAAGATTTAAATCTTATTTCAGGGTGTATATGAATGACTTATTAATCACAAATCACAGCCCATATGAAACTTTTGAAATTATATAAGAGAGATAAATATTTTATTAGATTGATGTTCCTTGGTGTCATCAAGATATGAACATGAAAGTTTATTTCAAACACTGCTTCTATGTTTCACACTTATTTCTTGATTTTTTTTTCATTTGGTGATACCAGAAAATCTGAAATTTTCATGGAATTTTAAGTTGGACCTTTCATTATTATTCATATCATAACTTTTCATTTAAATATTTCCTAATCTAACCATAATAAATATCAATCATAGGATGACATCAAGCGTATATTTTTGGTATACCTTAGCCTCTATTAAATGTTCTCATCGAAACTCATCTATATATGGTTAACATTAAACATAATACATCAGTTCTGAGTACCCAAAAAAACATATTATAGTACTCTCATTATTATGCATACATCCCTTATATATTAAAGGAGAAACATTTAAAAAATTATAACCTCAATTTTGTAATAATTAAAAAAGACCTCATGCTTAGGTGTCACTCAATTAGGTAGTCAATTACATTCAATTGAAAAATAAGTAGGTCCACATTCGATTTTTATATGTCGCTAGATACATTCGTTGGTCAAATTATATGATATGATAATATGATATGATATTTATGATATAAGCATTTATGATTGTTCCCATAGATATAATTACTATTTTATTTTCTTTCCATTAATAAAACCTACGGAATTACCATAAATGACTAATATATATATATATATGACACTTAATGATTCTAATAATAAATATTTGACAACAGTTTATATATCCTCCATCATTTTTCTTTGATTTTATATTATTAAAATAAATTAAACAATCAAATTAGCTATAAAATTAAACTTTAGATTTTTTCGTATAGGTTATATTTTGAATTTAAAAAAAACGAGAATAAACAACTAAACTATTAAAATTATTATGTTAAAAATTAATGATCAATAGTTTAACATTTTTATTATAAAAAATATACATGATTTTAAAACCATATAAGTAAAAAGTATCATTCAATAATAAAACAAATATATATACAGATTAAACTATATACCATATAAGATTACATAAATATTTTAATTTCAAAATTTTCAATAAATTTTCAAGAACATTTATAAACTATTAAATTATTAAATTTTTCACGTTGAAAATTTTTGTTATCAAGGATTTAAATGTCTTAGTTCTTTTTTAAATTTTATATTTCTAAAAGATTTTAACAATCGATAATGGGATTATTTTTGGTATATACCATACAAACCGAATGAATGTGATTTTATAAAAACCATAGGATTTGGATATGGTTTGATTTATAACCGATTAAATTGAAACATGTAAATATGTATATATTTATAACGACGCATGAATATCTATTTGTTACATGAGTTGAACTATAATTATAATTTGTAAATAGCTAACAATTTATTACAACTGAGACTTCTTATTTTGATCTTTTGTTTTTTTAACAGTAACTAAACTGAAGTAAAGATTATAAATTTGATGGACAATAATTAGTTGAAATTCTTTACAACTTTTTTTATCTTTAAACAAATAGAGTTGTGTTCAATCGAAGACATATTGGTTTGATGAACACTAAAAATGGAAGAATATAAAAACTTTTCTTTCATGCTTCTGTTTTGTTTTTTAATTTTTATTTTCAAAATTTAGTGTTTTGATATTAATTCTAGATTTGATCATTTTATTAGATGAGAGAAGCCTTTTTTTGTTTTTTATTCTTTTATTCAAATATATAATATATTTTTAATAAATGACTATGTGACAATATGACTCTAAATATGATCATACTATATATTTGTATAATATATAATATGATCTCAAACTAAATAATTATGTTTTTTGGTATAAAATTGAATAAACTAAAAACCGATGATATATAAACCAAATCAAACTGAAATACATATAGATTTAGAATAATAATTATATTTTAATAATCGAAATACCAAAAAAATCGAGCCGAACCGAAACCCGATATCCGGATTGAACACCTGTAATCCGAATGAAACCGAACTATTGTTTCATTTTTCAAAATATAATAAAAATAATAGCTTCATCCCGCGCAAGGCGCGGATCTTATCCTAGTTCTATAATAAGACAATTGTTTTTTTCATTATTATGCATATCTATCTTATTAAATCCGAATAGCCATATATATTGTAGTTCCTCCATACTATAGTAAAATAGTAAAAATAATTAAAGCTTTTTCTGAAAATATATATACAGTTCCTGCATATATAGTGTATAGTTTTTTTTTAATATCAGAGGTACATATAAACTTTTCTAAATTTGTTCATATAATAAAAAAATTTAGGATTTTGATTTGCGGATTTTACAACATCTCTTCCTATATACACGTTTACAATTCAAGTTAATAAATATAATTTTTAATTAATTCAAATTCAAAATCAGAAAGCGATATTACTACTCAAATTATTTGGCCTATCAACTTTCCAAATCCAAGGATATACAACAAATAAGAAATATATCTACTTAATTAGTACGAAATTCCCGCTTATATTTTTATTCCAATAACAGAAACCAAAATTTCTGTAAAAATTTGAAGAACAAAATGATGAACAAAATGAAGAACAAGAGAGAGAAATAATTCTGAGAGAGAGAGATAAGAAGAATTCTCTTTTCCTTAATTAAATCAATGTGCCTTACAGCAAAATAAATAGGCAAGATGTCTAAAATAAAGAATAATTAAAATAATACAAGTTGGTACACAACGGTCAAATGCACGTGGGAAGGGCAGAAGTAGAACATTTGAATTTCCCATATGGTCAAGGTATCCTTCCATCATGGTCAAGCATTGCACCCATGGTCATCGTATTTGTAGTTGACCATATGGTCAAGCTTGTACCATCGCTCTCCTTCCGTCATGGTCACACTTGCACCAATTGTCATTGTATCTGAAGTTGACCATATGGTCAAGCTCTTCATGGTCACGCTTGCACCAATGGTCATCTTATTTGTAGTTGATCATATGGTCAAGCTCTTCATGGTCACGCTTGTACCAATGGTCACCTTATTTTTATCTTAGTAATTCCTTCATGTCAACACTCCCCCTCAAGCTTGACCATGTAAAACAAGTCAAGCTTGGAAGCCATGAAGCAATCCCTCATTAAAACCTTAGCTATATAAAACCCAATGGGATAAAACCTAAGCCAAGAAAAAAGAGTAGATCACTTCATAGAGGAGAGATCAGTGACATGAGAGATCTATAAGTCCTAACCTTGGAAGGATGGACTCACAAACCTTAGTGCTTGCTGCCTTTGTTAAGATATCAGCCAGTTGATCTTCACTTCTAGTGTAACATGGGAGTATTATTTTCTGCTCCATTGCTTGTCTCACCTTGTGACAATCCACTTCTATGTGCTTTTTTTCTCTCATGAAACACTGAGTTGGTTGCAATGTGAATGGCTGCCTGGTTGTCACAGTGTATGGTCATGGGTGTAGTGATCTCTATACCTAAGTCTTTCAGCAGTCTCTTGATCCATATAAGCTCACTGGTCAGTTTCCTCATTGCCCTATATTCAGCCTCAGCACTTGAACAACACACCACATTTTGCTTCTTGCTCTTCCATGTCACTAAGTTGCCTCCAATAAATGTGCAATATCCAGTAGTTGATCTCCTATCAACTCTATCTCCAGCCCAATCAGCATCACAATAGCCAACAACCTCAGTGCTTTTGTTACACGCCATCCACACACCTTGACCAGGGGCTTCCCGTAAGTATCTTAGGATCCTCTCCACCATGTTCCAGTGATGAATCTTGGGTGTTTGCATATGCTGGCTAACTTGATTCACAGCAAAACACACATCTGGTCTTGTAATGGTTAAGTAAATCAGCTTCCCAACCATCCTCTTATACCTCTTGACGTCTTCAAATTGAGTGTTCTCATACTCCCCCTCACGCAATACCTTGTAGTTCTCTTCCAATGGTGTCTTAGCTTTCTTTCCTCCAAGGTCTCCTGCCTCCTTTAAAATATCCAGAGTATATTTTCTTTGAGATAGGAACAGTCCCTCCTTTGATCTACACATCTCAATGCCAAGAAAGTATCTCAGCTCTCCTAGATCTTTTATATCAAATGCAACCTTGAGGAATGACTTGGTTGAGATGATTCCTCCCTTATTACTACCAGTGATAATAATGCATCCACATAGACAAGAATTACCACTATCCCTTGCTTGATGGTCAGTGTGAAAAGAGTGTGATCAGCTTGAGACTTCACAAATCCTTTCCCATTGAGTGTTGTACTCAGCTTGTGATACCAGGCTCTTGGTGATTGTTTCAAGCCATAGATTGCTTTCTTCAATCTAAGGACATTCCTTGGT